CATACATGTTTTGACAATATAAAATCTTCTACCAACCACAAACAAAGGCAGACAGCCACAAATGGGGGTAGATAACCACAAACAAAGGTAGTCACATGATATTCATCTTTCTGAGATTGACTTAATTTACTTCAAGTGAATTTTTTTCATCCATTTTCCTATAAATGACATAAGTTCATTCTTATTTAAAGCTGAAGAAATGCCCCTCTCATTTGTAAACCACATTTTTCTTTCTTCTTCATTTGCTGGACACATGGTGATTCCATTATTTTGCTACTGTAAATGGTACCACAATAAACACTGATAAGCAAGTACCTATGCAAAATGTTGACTTGGAGTTCCCCAGGTAAATGCCGAGAAGTAGTGTAGTTGTTTGATGTAGAAGGTCTATTTCTAGTTTTTTGAGGAAGCTCCATAGTATTTTCCATAGGGGCTGTGCCAACTTAAAGTCCCACCAGCAGTGCAAGAGGACTCTCTTTGTGTTCTAGCCTTCCCTGGATTTGTTGTTGTTGGTTTCTTAATGACTGACATGCTCACTGGAGTAAGTGCAAATCTCAATGGAGTTTTGATTTGCATTTCTCCACTAACTGCTAAGGTTGGACATTTTCAAATATGTTCATTGGTCTTGTGTATTTCATTTTTTGTGTGTCAGTTGTCTGCTTATTGATTGTGTAGTCTTTTTGTTTAGTTTTTGAGTTCCTGATGTATTCTAAATATTAATATTTTGTTAGATGTGTAAGCAGCAAAGATTTTTTTGGAGGCTGTCTCTTTACTGTTTTCTTTACTGCACAAAAGATTATGAATTTCATAAGATCCTATTGGTTGATTATTGGCCCTCTTTCTTAAGTAACTGGAGTTCTATCCAGAAAGGCCTTGCATCCTTATATCTTGAAGTGCTCCCCAACTCTTTCCTCTTACAGCTTATGGTAATGCCTTTGATACACTGGGAATGGGGTTTTTATGTTTTTGTTTTTTATTTAATTTAAATTAGAAACATGCATGCTTCAAATGTCAATCCCAGCTCCCTCTCCCTCCCCTTCTCCCTTGTCCCTCTACCAGCCAACCCAGCCCTGGCCCAGTCTCCATATCATTCCTCAGGGAGGGTGAGGCCCTCCTTGGGGGGATCTCCAGAGTCTGTCATTTCATCATTTCATGTCAAGGCTTAGAGAGCATCCCTCCATGTAGAATGGGCTCCCAATGTTCATTTTTATGCCATGGCGAACACTACCCAAGGCTCCAGAGATTTCTGAGGCCTCCTCACTAACACTACATTTATGGAGTCTGGATCAGTCCCCTGTTGGCCTCTCAGCCATCAGTCTGGGGTTCAAGAGCTCCCCCTTATCTGGTCAACTGTCTTTGTGGGCTTCACCAGCACAGTCTTGACCCCTTTGCTCATCACTCTTCCAGTTTTCTTTGGTCAATGAATCTAATTCTCCTAGTGTATCTTCAACACCTGAGATTCTCTCTTCCATCTCTTGTATTCTGTTGGTTATGCTTGCATCTGTAGTGCCTGACCATTTCCCCAACTTTTCTATTTCCATTATTCCTTCAAACTGTGTGTGTATGTTTTTTTTTATTGTCTCCATGTCAGCATTCAACCCTTGCACTGTTTGAATTGTTTCTTCTAATTTTTGCTTCCTATTTTCCTCCATTTCTTGCATTTGTTGGATTTTTTGGTTTGTTTTTTCTTCCATTTCTTTATGGGATTTTCTCACATCCTCTTTGAGGGCCTCTATCATTTTCATGAAGGTGTTTTTAAGGTCATTCCCTTCTGCTTCATCCGCATTGGGGTGTTCAGGTCTTGCTGGTGTAGAATCTCTAGACTGCGGTGGTGTCATATTTGTTTTTCTGTTCCTGAGTGCTCACCTCTGCCCTCTGCCCTGAGTGTGGGCGGAAGTCGGGAATGGGTTTTTATGAAGGGTTAGAGATGAGGACCCACTTTCTTCTGCATGTCGATGTCTAGCACCATTTGCTAAAAGAGGCTGTATTTTTTTTCTGATGTGCATTCTTGGCATCTTTGTAAAGAACAAAAATCAGGTAGCTACAGAGGTGTGAGTTTATGTTTATATCTTTTATTCTAGTCCAATGACCCATTGTCTACTTTTGTATCACTGTATTGCTGTTTGTTACCATGACATTGTAAAGCAAGTTCTTCCAGAGTTGAAACACTCCAACCTCTGGGGATTCTCCTTAAGACCCAGAAACTTTGGACGGAGGCTCCTTGAGACTAATAACTCACAAGTCTCAGGAAATTCCCGGAACATGCAGATTCACAGGGTTCCCTCTGCAAGGTTATTTAAATAGTAAAAGCTACCGAGGAGAGGAGACTGTTTTCCCTGGGGAGCTGTCTTCAAGTAGTGCAGAGAACTCTATGGTTCTAGCTTTAATGAATTTTCCCACATGCTAGAACATGATGTAGTGCGTCTGCATTTGAGTTGCTTATACTCAAGTACAGTGATTTCAGTAATGTATCTGCATTGATTTCAGTAATGTATCTGCATTAAGTTGCCTGTACTCTTATAGCTTCAGTAAGCTCAGTATTTTATCAACTTGGATTTGATGGTATTATTACTTTGTCTTTCATTAGTTTCCTATCTGGGGTGAGAGACATTTGCATACGTCTCCTCAGGGACCAAGCTATAAAACACATGACTCTGTAGTCAAACATGGAATTAGATGTGACACCTCTGTCATTACTCTTTTCACTCAGGATTGCTTTGGCTGTCAGATTTTTAGTGCTTCTAAATGAATTTTGAGGATTGTTTTTCTATTTCTGTGTAGAACAGAATTAGAATTTTAATGGGGAGATTGCATCAGATTTGTAGATTGCTTTTGGCAGACAGCTATTTTCACGATATTTATTGTTCTGACCCCTAGGTTTTGGTTGTCTTTACTGTTGTTCTTTTGTTTAAGATTACTACGGCAAGATGGAATATAAACTCTGAGAGTCCATTAACAGTAGAGTTTATTAAAGTGGGGGAGGGGAGAGCGAAAAAGGGAGAGATGCACGGAGGGTAAGAGAGAGAAGGGAGAGGAGAGTGAGGGGAAGCAGAAGGAGGACTACGTGGAGGTGCTCACTAACAAGGGGAAGCTTGCACATGCGTACTGAGTCCTTAGGCAGCCCCGTAATGAGTGACGTAGCAATGACATGGCCACGCCACTGTGCATGCCCTGCCTGTTGTCAGGGGATGGGGTCAGCATGGTGCTGCTTGTAGACTAGTACTCATGAAACCCTGGGGTGACCAGAGTACTGCCTGAGTGCACTCTGCCAGGTGACAGGGGCAGGCCAACATAATGCCTGAATCTTTCATTACATCTGGAGTTGTCTTCTTCAGTTTCGCTCTTCAGTTATTTTAATGTTTTTATGCTAGAAAGTTTTCAATGCCTTGGTTAGATTTAATTTTTTAGTTTCCTGATACAATTGTGAATGAGATTTTTCTCTGGTTTCTTCCTCAGCCTCCTTGTAACTAGCATTTAGGAATAAGCCTCAAAATTGTATGTTAATTTTATACCCTGCCACTTTGCTGACATGCTGAGAGTCTTCATCATTTATTACAAAAGTAGCAATTAATATTCTAGGTGTCAACTCCAGAGTATTTGTTACTATGAATTTGACTGTCTATAGAATATATCTGGGTGCCTTATCTTCTCAAATAGGTCCCAGAGAAAGGAAATTCCTTCTCACCAGGATGTCAGCAGTAAGAGCTGCAGCATCTGGATCTCAGTCTACAGAGCCTAGTTTTCCCCCGTGATACAGCACTGAGAAGTTCTCTTTAATCAGTTAACAGCATGGTTTACAAGTTATGTGTCATCCCCCTCCCCTCATGCATGAGGTGCCCACTTTTCTCAAGTTTCTATCTGCCTTCCTATTGTCGGAGAGTTGTAAAATGTGCATGTGGAGATATAGACAGACAGACAGACAGACAGACAAAACTAGAAGCCTTTGTGGATGAAAAGGAACTTTTGGAGAATGTCTAAAAATAACTCTAGGAGAAATTTTAAAGACAACATCTGAAGAGAACTTTTAGAGAAAGGACATTTGAGGAGAGAACTTTTGAGCAGAAATCTTAAAGAGAGCTTTTTGAGAGAGAACTTTTGGGAGGAACATTTTTTGAAGAATAAAGAGCTATGAGAAGAATGATATGTGTATGAACTGATTCATTCACCCTCAGATTGGAACTTATTAGCCACCCCCAACCCACCTGCTGTAAGCCTCCTGCCTGAACCCACGATACTAACGGTGTTTACCAGCTCTAAGTTTTTTTTCTTTTTTGTAGTAGAGGCTTTAAGGCATCTAATATAGAGAACCATATCATCTACAAATAAGAATGTTTTGACTTGTCCTTTTCCTATTAGTTTCCCTTTTATTTTCTTGTCTTATTCTATCACTATAGCCAAGACTTCTTGCATTGTGTATTGAATAAGAGAAGAACAAGGTGGACATCCTTATCTTGTTCCTGATTATAATGGAAATATTTAGCATTTCTCCTGCTTATTATACTATTGACATAAGTTTTTTTTAATTCAAGCCTTGTTGAATTTAAATGTGTTCCCTCAGTTTTTACTCTTTACTCTCTTTTTCTCTATATCTCTCTCTCTGCCTCTTCTCCTTCTGTTTCTCTCATGTATGTATGTGTCTGTCTCTGATTCTGTGATTATATATATATGTGTGTGTGTGTGTGTGTGTGTGTGTGTGTGTGTGTGTGTGTGTATGTATGTGTGTATGTAAGCATATGCCTATTGTTCATGTGTGGAGGCCACAGGAAGGTACCAGGTGTCTTTATCATTCTCTGCCTTATTCCCTGAGGAGAGATCTCTCACTGAACTGGAGTTTACCATCTTGGGCTGTGTACTGATTAGTAAGCTCCAGTGATCCTCTTCTCTCTGTCTCTCTACTTCTGTGGTTACAGGTGGGTGCTGGGATTCTTAGAGCATTCTTACCCACTAAGCCATCTCTCCACATTAAATATGTTCCTTCTTTTCCTGATCTCCTTTTTTTAAAGGAGAGAATATGAATGCAGTCCCCCACTACCACGGATTATGCAGTCGAATTTCCTGCATTTGGGGAAATCGTAGGGGTCAGCACATCCGGAGTAAAATGGGTAAGCCTTGCCCTGGGAAACCACCTTTGTGATCATGGTAGCTCCCCTGCCAGGCAAGTATACCTTTCCCAAGTTTCTACTTAGCTTTTTTTTTTTTTGGTTTTTCGAGACAGGGTTTCTCTGTATTGTTTTGGAGGCTGTCCTAGAACTCACTCTGTAGACCAGGCTGGCCTCGAACTCACAGAGATCCGCCTGCCTCTGCCTCCTGAGTGCTGGGATTACAGGCGTGCGCCACCAACGCCTGGCTCTACTTAGCTTTTATATGATGTTAGATTGTGTAAAAATTCGTTTTCTGCATTTATTGAGTTGATTGTGTGATTTCTCTGGGATATGTTTTATAGACAGCAATTGAGAAAATAAAAGGGTCTGAAACAAGGTGGCTACTGCTATAGCTTTTTTAAAAAGCGATTTGTTTCTCTTTCCTCTTCTGCTCTTACCTTCTTTGTTCAAGTACTAATTTATATACTCACCTTGGCTATCAATCCTAGAATGTTCAGCAATTCTGTAAACATCATTTGATACTTTGTTTCTCAAATACTTCCAGTTATTTCCCTGAACATTGGTTTCTGAAATTAAGCTCCACTATCCTCTGTTACATTAAATGTATTGTTGGTGTGTGTGTGTGTGTGTGTGTGTGTGTGTGTACATATCAACAGCAAGTCCATCACAATCTTGCAGAATTTTATATCTTGCCATGGAGTGGTACTAGAAAAAGCTATTTCACTTATGCTTGGTTGGTACAGGCCTGTAAGCTCAGTCAGTCTGTTGTCTGAAGCAGGAAGATCTCACACATTTAAGAACTGTGGGAGCTACAGAGTGAGTTCAAGGGCAGCCTAGACAGCTTAATGAAACCTTGTTTCCTAATGAAATGAGAGGACTGGGACTGTGGCTCAGGGTAGAGTACTTTCTCACCATGTGTAAGGCCCTACCTTCAATCCCTAACACTTTTGTAGTAGTTTGAATAAGAATGGCCCCCATAGGCTCATATATTTGAATGCTTGTTACACAGTCAGTGGAACTGTTTGGGAAGGGTTAGGAGGTGTGAAGGTGTTGAAGGAAGCATGCTGCCAGGCCAATGCCACGCCCCACATCTCACTCCCACCCCACCACCACCATCTGCCTTCAGATCAGGATATAAAGCTCTCAAATACTTTTTCAGCTCCAGGCCTGCTGGCTTCCCACCATGGTGATCATGGTGATCATGGTGAACATGGACTAACCCTCTGAAACTGTAAGCAAGCCCCCAATTGAATGTTTTCTTTTATAAGAGTTCCGGTGGTCACAGCATCTCTCCATATTAATAAAATAGTAAATAAGAGAGAAGCTGGTGCTAACAGTGAGGTATTGCTTTGATACACCTGACCACCGCCCCCTCCCGCCACCTTTTTGAGAAATATGGAAGACTTTGGGAATCCAGACTAGAAAAGTGACTGAAAGCTTTAAGAAGAGCTTGATGGATCCTCTAGTAGGGTCATGGAAGACAACAAGGTTATGGGCATTTGGGACTATGGAAGCCTGGCTCAGGAGGCTTCAGAAGGAAAGAATATCAGCAAGTGGAGCAAGTGGCCTACAAACCATTCGTGTAGTGTCTGACTTTTGATCTTATAAATATTTGCCAGAGGCTAAACTGAAGATTTTAACTGAAGCCATTGGCAGAGGAGATTTCAAGACATCCTAGTATTGACTGGGTCGTGTGGTTATTAGTGATCACTCTTATATCCATCTACAATGAAAAGCAGTGCACAGGGCAAGGGGAAACACAAATATACAGTTTGAGAAGAAAAAGGGAACTGGTAAGTATTATATTGGAAGCAAGTCCTCTGGTCAAGGAGATAAAAAGTTTGAAGAAAGCCTGATTGCAAATGAAATAAAGGGAATGGTGCCCTCAGGGCAAGACTCAACCAAGATAAGCCTCCAACTTGTGAAAAGAATGAAAGGAAAGCTTAAGCCACAAAGGAAACCATCAGCAATGGAAAGCTGGTGCAAATGTGACTCAAGGAAGGACCAGGTTCCAGACCCAGCGAGCAGAACCTGGCAGCTTCAGCCATGTGGCTCTGGATTTAAAGTCAAGAAAGATACTGGAAATGGGTTGTGGAATCTTCCTCTGAGGCCAAGGAAAGCTGCTATAGTTAGGTGTGCTACAGGGAAGTCCCTGCACGGAGGCCAGAGAGGCCATTGCCTGGAGCTGTGATTGTATTGGATACTCCAAGATGTTAATAAGTGTTAGGCTGAGAGATACCCGCCAAGCAGAAGTGCATAAAGGGTGTGAACCAGCCCGAGAGAAAGAAGTATGTTGTAGCTATCAAAATTGGAAGGGAAGAGCCATATAAGTTCTTTGGCATTGGACATGGAGATACAGGATCTGAAGTTTGCCCAGCTGATTTTGGTCCTACTTTGGTTTAGTATTTCCTCACTATTCCCCCATTTCCTATCAGTTGAAATGCTACTGTATATTCTGTGACATTGTACGTTGAAAACATGAGCTTTCCTTTTTTGTTTTGATTTTACATGGAGTTACAGTTTAGGTATTGCCTTTGAGTCTCAGAAGAGACTTAGGACTTTTAAACTGTTTTGAGCCTGAAAGCTTATGAGGACTTTTGAAATTGGACTAAATATGTTTTCCATTTCCATTATGATAGGGCTATAGAGGCCTGTGAGGGCAGGGAAGAGAATGTGGTGGGTCGAGTGAGAATGGTCCCTATAGGCTCATATGTCTAAATGTTGGTTCCCAGTTAGTGGAACTGTTTGGGAAGGATTAGTGTGACCTTATTGGAGTAGGCTGGGTATTGTTTGAAGAAGTATGTCTCTGGGGATGGACTTAGAGGTTTCAAAAGCCAATGCCAGACCTAGTATTTCTCTCTCTTGGCCTGCTGCCCAAGGATCAGGATGTAAAGCTCTCAGATACTGCTACAGCACCATGCCTGCCTGCTTCCTGCCATGATGATTGTGAACTCTCTCAAGCCACTTCCAAATGCTTTCTTTTATAAGAGTTACCTTGGTCACGTTGTCTATTCCTGACAATAGAATAGCAACTAAGACTATCTTAGGAGAGAGAGAGAGAGAGAGAGAGAGAGAGAGAGAGAGAGAGAGAGAGAGAGAAAGAGAAAGAGAGAAAGAAAGAGAAGGAAATAGCTCCTTCGAAATAATAGTATTAGGCTGTAAAGAAATAAAAAAGCCTAGTCACACGAATCAACTGGCCTTCCAGAAATGTCTGTAATACTTACTATGGTTCTGCAATTCCTCCAGTCCTGGCGTCTCCTTTGCCTTGTTCATCCAGTCAACAGACTATAGTTCTTCCATCTGGTTTGGCTCTCCTGTGGTGAGAAACCACTGCCCCTTTCCTGCTTGTCCAACCTTCGATGGCAGCTTAGTTTCCTCCTTAAGATGTTCTCTTTCACTGCTCATGAGAGATTTGGTGCCTGTTTTATTTTATTTTTTTTTAATCATTTTTTATTTTAATTTTAAATAGCTTGTTTCACATGTCAATCCCAGTTCCCTCTCCCTCCCCTCCTCCCGCACTCCCCTTCCACCCTCCCTCCCACCCTATTGCCAAATCCCTCCACATAGGGGATGTCTAGAGTCTATCATTTCACTCTTGGTAGGGTCAAGGCACTCCCCTAAGAGTCCAGGCTGAGAGAGCATCTCTCTTTGTGCCATAGGCACATGAAGACAGATTGTATACCAGGGATAGACACTGATCCACAGCTCAGAGCCCCATAGGTTGCCCAGGCCTTCTCACTGACACTCACATTTGGGGGGTCCAGATCAGTCCCATTCTGGCCTCCCCACTGTCGGTCTGGGGTCCAAGAGCACTCCCCTGTTCAGATCAGCCGTCTCTGCTGGTTTTGCCAGCCCATTCCTTGCCAATTTGCTCATCACTCCTCTCTCTCTGTCACTGGGTTCCTTGGGTTCAGTTCAGTGCTTAGTTGTGTGTTTGCCTCTGCTTCCATCAGTCCCAGGATGAAGGCTCCCGGATAGTTATAGACATCAAGTTCATTATCAGGAATGGGCATTCGAGGTGGTCCTTCCACTATTGCTTAGCTTGCCAATTGATGTTATACCTTTAGATCACTCGAGGTCACTCTGGTGCCTGATCTGTCTTCGATCCTATGATTCCCTCTTCCCCTATTTTACCCCCACCCCCTCAACTTCCTGTTCCCCCATGACCAACTCCCTTCCTCTTTACCCCCTCTACTCTTCCCAGGTCCCACTACCCCCCCTCGCCCTGTTCCCCATCCATTCAGAGGATCTTGTCTCCATCCTCTTCTCTTGGGTACTATGCATATATGCATATCTTTTAGGTTCTTTCCTGTTTCCCAGACTCTCTATCTGTGGAAGTGCAGACTGGCACTATCCTGATCCATATTTAAAATCCATATATGAGTGAGTACATACCATGTTTGTCTTTTTGCGACTGGGTTACCTCACTCAGGATGGTTTCTTCCAGTGCTATCCATTTCCCTGCGAATTTCAAGATTCCATTGTTTTTTTCTGCTGAGTAATACTCCATTGTGTAAATGTACCACATTTTCTCTATCCACTCTTCAGTTGAGGGGCATCTAGGTTGCTTCCAGGTTCTGGCTATTACAAACAATGCTGCTATGAACATAGTGGAGCAGATGCCCTTGTTGTATGAACCTGCCTCATTTGGATAAATGCCTAAGAGTGGAATTGCTGGGTCTAGTGGTAGATTAATTCCCATTTTCCTGAGGAATCTCCATACTGATTTCCAAAGAGGCTGTATGAGTCGGCATTCCCACCAGCAATGGAGGAGTGATCCTCTCTCTCCACATCCTCTCCAGCATAAATTGTCTTCGGTGTTTTTGATTCTAGCCATTCTGACAGGAGTAAGATGGTATCTCAGAGTTGTTTTGATTTGCATTTCCCTGATGGCTAAGGATGTTGAGCACTTTCTTAAGTGTCTCTTGGCCATTTTAGCCTCCTCTACTGAGAATTCTCTATTTAGCTCTGTGCCCCACCTTTCAAGTGGATCCTTTGGTGTTTTGGAGACTTGTTTCTTGAGTTCTTTGTAAATTTTGGAGATTAGCCCTCTGTCAGATG